ACTCAAGACTACAGTTTCCTATACCTGCAATAGAGATGACCCTTTCCTCTACAAATACTAAGAATTTAAAGAATGAACTCTCTGTATTCTTACTTTAGAAGAAAATGAATTGTTTAATTCTACCCCATTTACTTATTTCATTATAATAAGTCTCAAATTTGGGGTACACTTATGCTATTATTCTCTTACTGTATTTTCTGCTATCAATTGCTTTTCCTGATTACATTCATGCTACTAAGATTGTTACACCTGTGGAGGTGGGCAGCTGTCTATTTCAGGTTGGTGTAATAAAAGGCATGTTGTACAACATTCTGGATAATAAACACTGGAGCATGAAATCCTGTTGATATAGCTCATACAAAGACAGTTCAACTACTCTAAGGTTTTAGCAGAAAATGAATGTGAAAAATGTTGAAAAAATTAAGACTGTAGACTTTCATCTTTTATTTTTCTACATCACCAACTTTATCAAAGAGGAAATCTGACCTCAGTCTCTGCACTTCACTATCTTCATTAAGTGTGGCAATTGCATAGCTTTTCAATAAAAATTAAATAATAGTAAATGTATAGAATATATTTTAAGAATATGATAACTATTTATCAATATTATGGCAAGTAAATTGATGAATTATTGTCAAATCCAAATTAGATTATCAGATTTTATTAATTTTTATAATTTTATGTCTACTTTTTTCAGAAAATAACTCTATGAATACAAGTAACAAGAATGAGTCTAATTTTGGTTGCTTGAATTATGAACCTGATGATCAATCTGTTTGAATTCTCTTTCATCCACCATGTGGTTGATATTATTCTAGAATCTTGAATGGAAAATTCAGCAACTAAATTAAAAACTTAATCTTCAACTCAAAATCCACAGAAACAACCTATTATAATCCTGAAAGAAAGTCAAAATATAAGAAAACTACATGACATAAACAGATATGAGGACATACTGAAGAACTTCCAATGGCTTTTTCTTCACTGACTGGATACTGATCTCAAAAAGGAGATAGTGAACTGAATGCCACCAGCTTGCAAGCAGGGGCTTTTTAAAGACCCATATAGACTCCTCTTTTTACTTCATACATTTACTAATAATAAGACAGAATGCAAGTGAAATTTTGAATTGATACTTTACAGAAGCCTAAAAAGTATTTTGAGTATTTTCACAGTATTAAACTAACCCAGTGGATCAAGTTGGACCAAAAAATTATTCAGTCTTTAATATCAATTCTCTTTGCCAAATCTCAACAGCAAAGCCATGGTGGTGGGAAAATTGCCAACAAAATGTGTTCCACTAAAGGAAAGAAAGTAGCTTCAATCTTCTTAAGTGATCTATAAAGACCTGGACTAATCACTGGCATAAAGCAGAAATTCAATGAGCTTGTTTTAAAAATTCAAATATTTCTGCAGTTTATACCCAATGAAGAAGCAAATGAGCAGCTCTCTGTGCACAGGCAATGGCTAATTATAATACAAATATTTGAAGTACCTTCTAATTGTCCAACTAGTTTATGACCATCACTTTAGAATCAGAGAATGTTAATACATTATTCAACAAACAAAAACAAAAGTGAAGGATGGCATTAGGGTTATGTCAGTTCTTAAGATGTGTGAGCATGTAGAAAATCATACTATCAATAGGAGGTGACTTGACTAAAATTAGTTTAACAAATTATAAATATCCAGTGCCTCCAAGGAGAAATTATTTTCTTCAAAAAGGAATCTATTGTTTCAGTAAAACTTTCAAACATTGTTTTATTTGAAAAACATCTTTCTCCATTTGGCTTCTGCATTTTCCAAATCTCCAACAAGCCTATGAATTAGTAATGTTAAGACTGTCTCCCTCACCATGAACTTTTCCTACTTCTGAGAAAGAGCTCTTCACTAAAATTCTACTTCCAAAATAGGATTCAACAGGGCAAATGCAAATCAGGACCCATATGACAGGAAAATCACAAATGCAAATATAAACTAAATTTTAGCTTAATGTCAAATATACTTTTAGAATAGTTCTTGCAAAAGTCAAGCTTTCTCTTCAATTAAATGGTACATTAGAGAGGCAAATCAGAGACAGAATCCAGGATTTCAGAATGAAATAAGCACTGGATGAATTCAAATCTCATAGTAGAATCACGTAGCCCACAGTCCATTTGGCCGGTTGCACTGGTATGAACGTGACAAATGAAAGGTGGTTTGAAACCAGCTCAGTCTCAAATTTCAAAGAACTTGGACCCTCAATGAGGACATAGCTTCTAAATTATATATTTATCTAAGAAGTGAAATTCAAAAATTGCTCTTAAGAAGTATGTCCATAGTATACATGCATTCTGATGTCGGTATTACATTGAAAATTTAACAATAAAATATTTTTTGTAAAATAGGTTTATCAGAAAATTCATCTTAATTGCAATATTTTAAAATTGTTTTTGCTAACAAGAGTTTCCACATATTGATCCAATTTTTTAAAAACTAATTAAGCATGAAAAACTGAGAGAAAAGACCATAAATTTTAAAAAATGGAGAATCAGGAAGATAATATATTGACTTTTATACTTACATCCTGGTTATTATGGTGAAGATACTTGAAATCTAGAAGGACCCCCATTACTGAACTAAAATAGAAAGTATTTTAGGCATATTAATATATATTTTTATAATAGCTTCTAAAAATATAATAAAAATGGAATTAATACCTGTCATAATAAAAATTTACCACAATCGTAAGTATACATTCCACGATTTCTTAATCCATCAAAATTAGTAATTTGGCCTGTACATGTTATCTAGCTGGTTTTGAATATCCCAAATTGCTTTCTGTTTTAGTTTGGATATGAGGTGTCCCCCAAAAGAAGGTTCAGAAGAGAAATGATTGGGTTGTGAGGGTTTTAACCCAATCAGTGATTTAATCCCCTGATAGGGATTACTGAGTGGTAGCTGAAGTGGTAGGGTGTTGCTGGAGGAGGTGGGAATTAGGGTGTGGCTTTGGTGTATACATGTGTATCTGGAAACTGGAGTCTCTCTCTGCTTCTTGATCACTGTGATGTGAGCTGCTTCCCTCTGCTACCCTCTCCCACTATGATGCTCAACCTCACCTCGAGCCCTGAGGAATGGAGCCGGCATTCTATGGATGAAGACCTCTGAAACCGTGAGCCCTAAAGTACACTTTCTCCTCTATAATTGTGCTGGTTGGGTTCTTTAGTCACAACAGTGCAAAAGCTGACTGAAACACTGTCCCTCATTTACTCAAGCACTTTTAACTCAGCAAGATTATTTAGTAAAAATATTCATAATAAAATGTGGATGAAAACTGAATTTTTGAAAAATGGAAAGCTGAAATTAATTGGATTTTTATTTTTAACAAAGAACCAGAATTCTGTACAGGTCCACAATATTTGAGAACTTAATCATCAGATCTTTTAAATGCAAACATTGAATATATGTAACTGAGTCTCAGGTAACTCACGAATGGGTAGTAAGGTGTAAGCAGTCCAAATCCTATTTTTCTTTCCTTCATCCCACAAACGTGACTCTGGTCTAGAGTTTGGAACTCAGATGAAGTTTCTTAACTCATACCTTGAAGCAGGAATGCCATTGAGAGGCCGGGGGCCCAGCAAATACTATTTTCAGGGCAAAGTTACAATTTAGAAACAGGAAAGACCAAGACCTAAAGCCAGAGGCAAAATGAAAGCCAGAGTCTTTATGTGGGTCATCAAACCACATTTTAGAAGAGATAGAGATGGGATCACTCTTGCTACAGTTTGGACAGGGTGGTGTGTGAAAGATGGGTGGGGTGGTGACAAAGCTGGCATTTGCTTTCTTCACCTGGTAGATTACAGTTTACAGAATACCCTGGGGAGCTCTAAAAACCAGGATCGGTGTGGACAGAGGGTGGAAAATCCATTTATTTGTTTTTTCCCTCTTTTTAACACTCTTTCAACCTTATATTTTTAGATTCCTGTTTACAGGGTTTCTTTACAGAATTTTTTTTTTCTTATTATAGCAAGCACATCACAAGGACAGACATTTAATAATGCTAATTGTAGCTAATATTCATTCAGTGCTTAGAATGACCCAGCTATGAAACTAAGCCCTTTAAGCATTACATTTTATTATGTAAAATAATATTTTATTTACATTTTTACATATTATTTAAATAAAGTTCATCAAAGTTATGTGAATGCTTCTTTTTTAATAATAGCAGGAAGCTCATTTTGACATGGCAATTTCGCCCTCTGCTGGTGGTCAAGAGTTTCTGGACCATCTACCTTGTGAAACAATGCTCAATAATAGTATGCCAATGTGAGACTGTGGATCAATTATGCACTACTTTTATAACTCTGTCTTGCTAATTATAAGTTCAACAGCCTACTAATGCAGCAGTGAAAACATGATATATTCAGGTTAAAATAGGATTCGGATTTAAAAAAAAAAAAGGTTGCATTCCAGAAACAGATGTTCAAGTATGGAGAGGAAATTTCCTCTGGTAAAGGTGGAGAACAAAGAGGAGAAATTTTATTAAAGTGTCTCAGAAGTAATATTGTTTAAAAAGGTGATTGGGAAAGAGCCACTTTTAAGGCTGTGTATTCAGAAAACAGGAAATAAGCTTCTGTCCTGAGGATATGTCATATGACATAAGGGAAAAATAAAATGGCAGTAACATAAGTGAAACACATTTATAATCAGATTTTTTTTTCAAAACTGAATAACTGTGAGAATGGACTAGTGCATATAGGGTAAATTTTTCTGGGTATGTAATTAGAAGACTTATCATTCAAATGTTTGGATTTGCATTCCCACAGTTTCATGTGAAGAGCACCAGATTTAAAAAGCAGTCTCTCTGATTTTCTTCCTTATGAGAAAAACAAGTGTGAGACTCTAGCTATGATCCAGGAGTTGACAGACGATCAGATTTCTCCGAGCTTGTGTACAAGATCCTCAGGGGAAGGTATTTAAGATCATCTACAGGGGAAACGCTAAGATTCATCTTAAGAAACATGGCCCTTCTTTTGACAGCTATTCTTCATATGGTCCTCATGTCAACAGAATTCGTCATAGGGATTATAGTCAATGGATTTCTTATAATCATGAGCTGTAATGACTTGATCAAAAGCAGAAGGCTAATTCTATTACAAATCCTCTTACTATGTATAGGAATATCAAGATTTGGCCTGCAGATAATCTTAATAGTACAAAGTTTGTACTCTGTGTTCTTTCCACTTGCTTATCAGGCAAATATTTATGGGGCAAAGATGATGTTTTTTTGGATGTTTTTTAATTCTCTCAGTCTCTGGTTTGCCACCAGCCTTTCTATATTTTACTGCCTCAAGATTGCAACCTTCACTCATTCCTGTTTTCTTTGGCTGAAATTCAGGATTTCGAAGCTTATCCTCTGGCTGCTCCTAGTCAGCTTGCTGGCCTCTTTGAGCACTGCAGCGGTATGTACTAAGGTAGAATTACCTAAAATCGACTATGCTGATTTCTTCACAAACACCACACTAAAGAGTGCTACAGCCAAGATAAAAAACAACAATGAATTGCTTCTTGTCAACTTGGCATTAATCCTTCCTCTCTTCATATTCGTGATGTGCACTTGCATGTTATTCATCTCTCTTTACAAGCATACTCACCGGATACAAAATGGACCTCATGGTTTTCCCAATGCCCAGAGAGAAGCCCATATAAATGCATTAAGAACAGTGATAACATTCTTTTGCTTCTTTATTTCTTATTTTGCTGCCTTCATGACAAATATGACATTTCAAATCTCTTACAGAAGTCAGCAGTTCTTTGTGGTGAAGGACATAATGGCAGCATACCCTGCGGGCCATTCGATTATAATCATCCTGAGTAACTCTAAGCTCCAGCAATCATTCAGGAGAATTCTCTTCCTCAAAAGGAAATGATGAAGATGAGGACAAACATGAAATGAAATATTTTTCCTTGCCATGAGCTCAGTGGACTTACTTGTGTTTTATGTGCTCCCTATCCCTTCTCTCTGACAATATCCTGCCCCCATTACACCCCAAGGGACACCAATTGTGGGAAGCTAATTCTGATATTTGATGGATAGGATATTTCTTCTTCAAGGGCTTATGTATTTCAAAATATTTTGATGGTAATACATGTTAGTAACTAGTGCTTGCAGTGGAATACCAGCTATATTTTAGAAACAAGAAAAAAGTTCTATGACTTTATTTGGTTAATCACTATTTCAGTTTCTTTATCTGTCTTCCAAGGTCACTGGGGGTTTTATGGGTGAGATAAGGAAAAGCAACTCCATTTTAGTTCAAAACTTGAAGCCATAGAATAATTTGGTTGTTTGGGGGCACTTAATTATTTTTCAAGAAGTTCATTAGTATAATGCAAACACAGGTTGAAAGTGTATGCCACAGCCACACATCCAGCTGTACTGGGTAAGATCTTCTGCTTCTGATTTCAGGTGGGGAGGTGATACAGGGCAAATCGAGCTTCAAGCATATATACACAATCAGCACAATTCAAAGTCTCCATTCTTCACAAAATAAAGAAATATTTTTTAATCTCCTGAAGTATTAAGCTTACTCTCAGAGAAAGTGTGGGGAGGTGAATAACAGTGAATTCTTAGCAGATTGAACATTAGACAATAGAGTTCTTAACTTCTTCCCAACTGGGAATCTTGTCTGGGGTATGGCAGCAACACATGTCTTGAAGATCTAAAGTAAAAGCTTTGAATTTGTTGATAGATTTGAATTGATTCTTCTCTTTAAGGATCTTGAATAGTCTTGTTTGAGGGAAAAAAACTGTTTTTGCAATATCTTTCATTTCTTAGGATGCCTATTGGAATTTATAAACTCCTCTTTGCCTCTTAAACAAAAAAAAATGTGTTGCTATTTAAATTGTAACAAATTGCAATTAAAGTGGATTAAATGTTGCTGGATGTGAAAAAACTAGATATGTGTATGTATGTTTGCAATGATTTCTTACTGTGGTTAAGAACTGTGGTTCCTGGCCTCTGGGGCCAAATTGGATGGGTTTGCATCTGGCCAGCTGCTGAGTTAGCAGTGTGAACTTGGGCAAGTCATTAGACTCTGACCCCACAGTCTCCTCATCTGTAAAATGAGATAATAATGGTACTTACTCCCAAATTTTGCTGTGTTTTTGGATCTGTTAGCAAGTGTAAAACACTTTGGATGGTTCCTGGTACAGAATCAAGGTCAGTTGGGCTCAAATATAGTATTACATCAAGAAAAAGTTTCAATTGCCCTTATATGGAAGGCATGAGGTTTATTCCTCTAGTGTTTTGAAGTTGGAAAAATAGAATTAAAATTTGATATTATTACTTTAAAAAAGAGGTAAAGGATACCTCTGTTTAGAATGATAAACAGGGTTAGCATTGTGATGAAGGAGAAAAGGGTTAATAAATGAAGTGGCAAAATAAAACTTAGGAACCACCAGAGGATGACGAAAGGACAGGGAGTGTGTTGGGATGGGAGCCAAGAAGAAGAGGGGAGAGGCGGCAATGCTTGCATTCCTCCTAGGTCTTAGGAAGGGTCACTGGTGGTGACATCCCTGCTGGAATCACTGTGGATGCTGGACACAGTGATCTGGAAGAAGTGAGCCTTCTGGAGAATTGCTCCCTAGGACAAGTAGCATGGTCATCAGTGGGACTTGACTGTGAATAACTGAAGGAAGTGGCCTCTTACCTAGTGAATTTGAGAGGACCCTTTACAGAGCTTTGGAGGTTGATACCACAACACAGACATCTATAGGCTCTGTGAAGCTTGGCCAAGTTTAATATAGGTACACTTTGATAGCATCACATATCACTAGGTGTACCTGACTCATGTGTACGCAAATCTACCAAAAACAAATCTACCAAAGTTGATCTCTATTTCTAAGAGTAATCAGAAAGTCCTTCTTCCTCGATGCAATCACATATCATTTGTTTAAAAATCTACGCTATAATACTGAATTTCTGTGATATAACCAGCATAATTGTCCTGAAATAATCCTGAGAACTTACCATAGGCTGCCTTGTCCCTGAACTGATTAGAATGGAGGACTCCTCCCTCCTCCTTGTGATAGAGGCTGCTTCCACAGGATGCTTTGCATTGGAAAAAAGGAATACAGCTTTGTTTAGGTACCCAAAATCATCAGATGCCAAACAGACACCTTTCCTGAATGCATCCTTTAAACAGCTGCTGTTAAAAGTCAGTACGCTTTATGCCAGATGACTTTCTAGTTTACTCTGCCTATCTGCCCCTGTTGGAAAATTTACTTTCAAGCTTGCTCTGTGTTGGAGTGCCCTGGTGCATCACCCTAGCCAGTACCGAAAATCTGTCTCTCTTCTTTTCTCTGTTCTTTGATTGTAACTCTGTTACCTGATAAAGTCTATTCCAAAACCCACACTGCATGACAAGTCAGATGATGGCCACAAAGAAGATACCTTGCACACTTTCAGGGATAAACTTAGACACGTCTAATTTCCAATATCCAGTCTTCTAGCACCTTGTTCTCTCAACAAGTTTGCAAAAGCCACCTCCTTATTTCGAACTGTCAATTCTCCTACTGTTCTGATATGTACTTCCTACCATTTTATGGGCCTAAGTTTATGTAAATAACTGATATTTTATTATCTCCTCACTTATGTTAAGCTTCACTTCTTTCCTATCATGTTTGGTATTTCCAGTTTGGAAATTGTTCCCAGTGATAGAGAAGGTAATAAAATCAGAGTTAAAGTATTTAGCCACATGATGGCATCAGTTAATATTACTTTTGTACAATAAAGAAACTCTTTAATTCTTATTTTCCTTATTTCTTAACTTATGGAATATTTACACCACAAATTATATAATTATATAATATGGAATATATTCTATGACCAAATTATTATTATAGTGAATTTGAAGTTAATTCATTAGTATAAATTTGTTAAGTAGCTTTCCAAAATGTGCACATTCATTAACACCCAGAAATACAAAAATTGGTATGTTGAGGTTTTTATTTGGTACGACTCCTTACTTTCTCAACTTTGTGGAAGTTGAAATACATGTTCTCATACATCCCATAGATTTTATGTGTGGTAAAATATTATTATACATTCAGAATTATCAGTGTAAGGGGACAGTCTTTGATGAGTCTATAATAATTTGAATCATTTCATTACAAAATGATATTTCCATGGCAGAAAATTAATTCATGAGTGCATTAAAGAAAATTCAAAGTAGTTGTTTATGCTGTTCATCCATACAAACACCCCTCCCTTCTTCTCACATTTTTATTAAGTACCCTGCTGTCATCATGATCACTATTGTTCCCAGTTCCTCTAAGAAATCTTCAGAGATATTCTCAAACATCCTCTGATCTTTCTTTTACTAATTCCACATATGAATAACTCATGGCTGATCATTTGGCATTTAATACATTGTCTTATAAGATGCAGCCTTATAGGTTTTATCATTTCTAATCAATTACTTATAATATTTTTGAAATATGAGACCACATTATAATGTATTTTTAATCCTAGGCAACTATTAATCAACTAATAATAGTGAACATCATATAAACTAGAATTTGAATACAGGCTTTTCATTAAGAGGCAGAAGATCAACATAAAGATAGGTTAATTCTATTTTAAAAATTGTAATTAACTTAGTCAATTCACATTTACTGTTATTTCCATGGTAAGATATATATATATATATATATATATATATAAAATAAAAATATTTTATATATTTATTTTTTTTTAACATTAGGGAAACCGGTAAAGAACATTTGCTTTTCAGTTTATAAACTGTAACAAAATTATAAATCATGCACTGCCACCTAGTGGCAAGTTTACACTCTACATGAAATAATGGTTAAAATGGTCAGAAGATTTTGAGAAGGGATATTTGTCCAGATAATATTTTATTCCACTAGTAAAAATAAGGAGAAATTAATAGTCAGGTCATAGGAAATTTTGGACTAAATGTGAGCAAACTGTTAATTCCCAAAAAAATAAAAATAAAAGAATCCAAATCAAAATTATTTATGGTATTTAAAATAAAAGGAACCTTGAATATAAACCAGATATTCAATGATATCAATGAATTTAAGTACAGTTTCTTAAAGATGTTATACTGTAGCTGTATTTATGTTTTATTATGTTTTGGGAAAAAGAATTCTGAAATAATTACTGATAAAATGATATGATGCTTCAAAATAGGAGAAATTGAAGATATATTTGAAGAACTTTTTGTGAAACAAGATTGTCCATGAAATGGTAATTTGTAAAGCTGGATGATGGCTATGTGGAGATTTATTATCTATTTCTGTCTACTTTGTATATTTAAATTTTTCTATACAACAAAAAGTTATGTTTTTTAAAATTTCATCAAGATATGTACCTATGGAAAACAAGGTTTGGTTAATCAAGACTTTCTCCATAAATTGTTTAGTAAAACTCAGTAGGTTGGCCCATAGATTAGAAAGAACTGCATGTATCGGTTTTATAAAATGACTTCTGGAGAAATTAACTCAAAGTTTTGAGTTCAAGTAAACAAAAAGGTTTAAAGTATATCTTAGAATTGTGTGTGTGTGTGTGTGTGTGTGTGTGTAATGTCAAAGAGATTATTAAACAAACAGAAAAAAATGAGTTGTCAGGATTGAGTGGTTTAGTAAAAATGGACTGGTGTTCATATTCTCTTTCTCTAATAAATTTCTTAGTATGTTGATTTTCTTGCCTTTGAAGTAATATGATGTCTTTATTGCTTCCTTGCTAGATTTTAGGCAACCTTAGAGACCCTAATTTCACTTTTTTTTTTCTCTCTGACTTGAGTCCTTGAGAAAGTTACTTCAGTTTCTCAGTACACTATAGGAATAAAACTTAAATATACTTTGGGTTCTTTTGTAGAGCAAAGAATAAATGTTTGCCTTATCA